TACCAAATCTTCCTCCTGTCACCTTGGTTCCTCCGTCAGACGACTATTTGAAGGTCAACTTCGACGCAACTATTTGTGAGCCAGGGTGTTCTTCTGGTCTTGTTGTTCGTGGGCCAGACGGGCATGTGGTGCTAGCATCCGATTTGAGTCATCAGGGAGTTTTCAACCCCTACGTGATAGAGCTCCTAGTTATTCGATAAATTATCAGCATCGTTGCCTCAAGATCCTTGACTCATGTCATAGTGGAAGGTTACTCCAAAGTGGTGGTCAACCAAGTCCGACAAGGCATCCTAGAAGACTCATTCGAGGTCCAGTGCTCCGAGAGTGTCATCAAATCTTAGACTCTTTGACAGCTTGTATAGAGTTTCGGGCGGTTCCTAGAACCTCCAATAGTGCTACCCATAGAGTGGCGCGTAAAGCGCTGCTTTTGTCTCATCTAGAGTTATAGTCTTTCGTCTTTGTTGGGTGGCTTCATTAGGGTATCAATTGTAAGGGGTCCTAGGTAGATATATATGTATAACTCTTGTTCTCTCTTGATATCACTCAGAAATAAAATTAAAAATTAAAAAAACATGTGATCAATTTGTGGTTATCTGAATAAATTACTTTATTTTAGTCATTCCGACATCATATTTATTGATATTTTTAGGTGCAAATTAAAAAAAACTATATCAAAATGTTTATTTTGATTAATTATTACTACCTATATATAAATAATGAACAATTATCTAGTTAAAATGATGAAATCTACTGTCTATTTTAACTGACACTAAAAAAATTTATGTGTGTTACTTAACCATCACGAAACTTGGCGACACTAAACAAATTTGTGTCTGTTTGGGAAATTCCATTTTAAGAATTAACTTTATTATTTGTTTCGGTTGAACCAACTAAAATCAACCGACGCAAATTGTCAGAGTTTTTTTTATCTCGGATTTCTGCAACCGTCACCGGGGTCCCTCTATTGGTGCTCGTCTCACAACTCCTGCTGCTCCCATGTTCTGCCTTATCTATGTGGTCCCCGTCTCGAACTGGCTGCCGTCGAGCTGTTTTGTCGCACCAGCAAGGGAGACAATGATGACGACGATGGCGGAGTGGAACGAGACAAATTAGTGGCAGAATTTACTTGGGAAACATTCCAAATCGACGACGGCGATGGCGGTGTCGAACATGACCACCTTCCTCTCTCAAATATGTTGTCGACCCCTTTATCCCTCAACATTCGAGAGCGGATCCAGGCTCTTCCCCAGAATCCAACGATGTCGCTTCATCTCCCCCAACACCAGATTCATCTCCGTCTTCTCCAAATTCCAACAATGCGCTTCACTCCCCAGCACAAGATTCAGCTCCATCTTCCTTAGAATCCAACGTCGACATCGCAAGATTTCCTTTAGCCTTCCTTGTCTCTGGATCTAAGCAAGACATGAAGCAGATAGCTGAAGTAGAGGAGCAACAGGACAATGGGCTAGCGGCACCGGCTCGAATATCTGATGATCCTCTTGTTGTCAATGAAGAGAAAGAGCAATGTTTGGAAGAGGGAAAGGGAAGAGGAGGTTAAAGGGGTTTCTTTTGGTTATGTGAAGAAGAAAAGAGAGGAAATGAATGATAAGAAAGGGTGATTAAAGGAGAGAGAAAAAAAAAAGAAATAAAAATAACACACGAAATAATTTGAAATTTTGGTTTGAGTTAGAAGGGAATTTCGGGTGGGATTGTGAAAATTTTCAGAGCCAATTTTGTGTTGGTCAAAATTTTGGTTTGATTTAATCGACACTAAAATTAACCGACACTGATAATAAAAACTTAATTATTCAAAAAATGAATTTACAACTTTGTGTCTGTTAAAACCAACGCAAATCAAAATTTGTGTCGGTTACAAGCGACACAAAATATATTTGACACTAATTATCAAAAACTTGTGTCGGTTATTTAACCAACACAAATATCTGATACGAATTCTAAATTTAGTGTCGGTTCACTTAACCGACACCAAACACCTTTTTTCTTGTAGTGTCTGATACCATTAGATAATATCCTGAGCTCGTGAAAGCTTAAGTTCTTTTGATCAAAGTCACGTAGTCACAATATTTTTAGGGTTTCTCTGAGTTTCTCTCAACAACATGAAACAATAAAAAGGATAAGCGGATTGAAGTGCAATCTCACACCTTGGAGAATGCTCTATCAACATGAGGGTATAGGCTCAGCCACAATCAAGGTGATTACTTGATTGATATGAAGAAAACATTCAGGAAATTGGAATCCACCAATTCACAAGAGAACATTAAAGAGTAAAAACTCAATGAACCAAAAAGAGTTTTCTATTCAACATAATCTACCTCAATTCTTGTCTTACAACCTTTTAAATAGGCATAGAAAATTAAATTAATGAAAATACCGAAAAAAGAAAAAGAATACTAAAAGAAAAAGGTAAGCAAAGCCGTCTGGGCCCGATCCCCGGTCTCAATCCCCATTCAAGGATTTATCCCAACTGGTCGGGGTGCCTCTACTTGCATTTCCCAGTCACTCCCTGAAATCTCCCAATAATGCTGCAAATTGAAAGGCTTTATAGTGCCTGCCTTGAAAATATTTTTAGCTCGTTCAACCTATACAATTTAAAAAAGTATTTTTTAACAAATATGAAAAAGCTAATCAATTAACAAATTAAATGCATAATAATTCTTATTTGCACTTGACTAACCACATCGTTAAGGTTTTCTCTACTCATTATTGTCGCGTTTGCTCTCCTCGATGCAACGTTCCATGAACCACATTTCTTAAGTATGGTCTTCCATCGATATTGTAGGCCCCCATTAGGACGTGAAATTCTCGACAAATACTGCCTCAACTTGCCTCCAAAACTCAGGGTCGTATTGATAATAGCCGACAAAATCGTCCTTTGAAATTTCAATCCATGCATAGCACAGGTGATTACCTTAAGACATAATGAGAAGTTTGGGAGGAATATATTTTTTTGGATGGGAAGAAGATGAATATCACAATTGGAGACAATTGAGAGGGAAAAAATGAAGTGATGAAGTAGAAGTAAAGATATTGAGGTGTATTTGTATGAGAAATTTGCAAAAAAATAGTTGTTGGGAGTTGGGACTAAAAGATCCGTTGGGGGTGAATCTGGGGACTGAAAATGTAATTTTTCTGTTGCAACAGTCAGACTGAAGGAAGCAGCGCGGGCGGGGCAATTGTGCAGCACGCGTGCACAAGATTAGCCAGACGCTCACTTGGCGATTGTGCCCCCTGGTGGTTCCGCGAAAATTGGACCTTCTTATCTAGTTGTGGTCCAACTTTGCCTCAATCCAATTTTCTGGACCTATGGAACCCCACTAAAATGGCATGGGTCCAAACTTTTTCAATTCTGGCCCAGCACTAAACACGGTCTTAGGTACATGATAGAACAACTTGTATTAGTATATGAACCTGACTGAATCCACAAGAGACCTCCGGGACTAAAATTGTCAAAAATAATTTGCACTTTTTTAGGAAACAATTTGCACTTGGATGATGGTAGGGAGCGGATCTATTGCATATTGAAGTATGCATAATCCAATATTTACTATTTATGGGAGACTACTAACTTTTTCCCAATAAATTTTAACGAGTTATATCTCTTTTGTTTTAAGTCGAAATTAAAAAATAGTTTGCACATAAAAATCAGATTCATTTGTTATTCAAAATGATATTCAATTTGATATATTTTGGAATAAAAAAATTGAGACTTTTATTATCAGTCTCTACCATGTGGTATCACTTGGTATGTTAATAAGATTGTATCACGTATTATGGAAGTGTACCATTGTGGTATAAATATATTATAGTAGAGAATTGTTGTATACATGATAGTAAGTTTATACTTACTGTCATTTACACATTTCATCATCGTCTACCACCAGTTACCACCCTATAGCAGGGTGGTATAAGGTGATATATTTAGTCCTGTAATTTTTTTCCCAAAAATTTATAGATCCAATAAATCACTATGACCTCGTTCCTTCTGAGAAAAATTATTCAAAATTCGAGCTAAAAACGAAAAATGTAGCAAGGTGGTAACTGGAGGTATGAGTGGTATACAATTTTTTTTTCTTGAAATATATTGAAAATAGATCTCATTTTGTAAATCAAAACAAACCGGTTCCATCTTTTCAAAAAAAAAAAATTTGAGATCCAAACTAGAACGACGAATATAAAAGTCGATTAAGAAAACTAGAGAAATTGTAAAAATTGTAAAATGGAAATCCATCTCTTAGATTTGGCTCCACTTCAAATTAAGGGCTCAAAGTTTGCTATGCGAGGGTTATGCACTCTAAGGTTATTGACCTTATCAAACTTTTTATTAATATTTTATGATGAGTGATGACGTGGTGTTTGGTTAAAGTGGTCTAACTTAACGGTGTTGGAGGCAAAGTGATTCAAATAGTTAGCAGTTTTGGACATGATGGGTATTTTATAAAGTTCGAATCAAAGTAGTCCATAAGTGTAAAGTGTAGATCAAACTAAAGTATTAACCCAAATACGTGATATCCAGGTCAAACTAAGTGTAGATCTAACTAATTTATCGATTTTTAATTCTATTAAATGACTTTACTTTTATTAATTTTCATACTACGTGATATCCAGGTCATTAATATGTAGTGACTCACTAACGATTAATGGTGTTAATCGTCCAACTTGACGTTTAACCATAATGATAATTAGATTAAAGTAGCTCAAATATTCAAGGGTTGTGAAGACGTACAGTAAGTTGTACTAGAAGAGTCACCGATAGTTACTTTAAGCTGAAAACGTGGTTTAATTGTCGTTCAATGATTTCATTCCACCTACCAATTTAGCATCCGACAGATTTTTTTCTTCTTCCCGAACTGCTGGTGTGTATAAAGTTCCGATCGAGATTTTTCAAAATTCGAGCTGAAATAGTCTATTAGTGTAGAGTTTAAACCAATTTAAGGTTAGCCAATATAAATAATTACTATTTATTTGTTTTATGGTAAACAAATAAAATAATTACTTAATTCTATTACAGACACGAATACTATCACCTATCTTAAACCAAACCCAGCACTCTGCTCGGCTGCGTTGTCTGCTCTTGGAGTCGGACCAAACTATTAAAAAAGAGAGAGAGAGAGTTCCAATTGCTGCTGATCAACCACCAACGAGAGTCTCTGCAAAATCTCGCGTAAATATTTGCCCTCCTCCGACCACGTTTTCCCTCTGTAATTATCTCACTTTCTTCCCCATCTCCGGAGATTGGGCAATTTCTGCTCTACGAGTCGAGAAAGAGACGGGACGAGCTTTAGAGGCTGCAAGTTAGTTTCTTTTTGTGGGTTCTTCAGCTACATCCGCTTCGTATTCACTGCTTTTTCGGATTTTTAACTTCTGGGCATTAGCTTCCCAATTTGGCATGTCGGCATGGTTGAGAACCTTGTACCTCGTGAATTTTGCTGTTCACTTTCGCCATAGTTGAGTGTTGTGGTCAGACAAGTTGTTTTGGAACTGTAACTGTAGAACTGGAAAGGCCTTTGCTTGGAGATATCCTGAGTTAGATTTCGTGAGCTAATGAATAGGCTAGGATGATTTTGTGAATGAAGTTTGACCTTCATCAGGTAACATTTCTTTGCTTGAAAAGGTTGTGTTTTTTTTTTCTCCTTATCGCTTTCGGTGTTCTTTAGTCTTGCTCCTTCATTCTATGTGAATGCAAAGACCACTGAGTAAGATTATGAGTTTCGGCAGGCTGACTCTTTTGTTTTTTAGAAATGCCGGGTGCAAAAGGGATAGTAACCTTATTTTTCCCCAACTCGGTATTGCTGTTATTTACTTGCATTGCATCATGGTCAAGATTGCTCATTTCCTTCTTTGTGAATCATAGATCTTGTATGATATTTAGATGATGATGGTGGGTTATTCTGGCTTTGGTAACAGGCAGTGGGAAGATTGGGTTTTGACAAAAATGTGAACTCAACGAAGGTACTCACATGATTTGGACAAACTGGCAGAGTATGAACTACAACTGTTCCCCTGATTGTGGTTTATTCTGGTATCGATGATAGACTTTGGAGGATTTGGCTAAGCTGAAAAGAATTTCGTGCAGAATTTTGAGGATGAATTCCACAATGGATGGCATGAACTTGATTCAGCAAGCTCAAAGACATCACTTAGTGGTCAGGGAGCTCGGTGAGGAGATTGATTTGGAAATAAGTCATGGGGATGATGATCCTTCATTCGCTAGTACCCCTCTAATTGGCAGCGGGTCCACTAGAGAACCTTCTTCCGAGGAACCTGAGGAACCTAAGGAGTTGACAATGGATTCTCAACTTCCCTCTGAAGATCAAGATTTGTCAAAGATGCAACCAGCAAAAAGAAAGAAAAAGGTTGTCAAGAGATGGAGAGACGAATGGGCTGATACATACAAATGGGCATATGTGGACGTAAAGGAAGGAACCGCGAGGATTTTATGTTCAGTATGTAGAGAGTATGGTAGAAAGCACAGAAGGAATCCATATGGGAATGAAGGAAGTAGGAACATGCAAATGAGTGCCCTAGAAGAACATAACAATAGTTTGCTTCACAAAGAGGCACTTCGTCTGCAAATGGCCTCCAAGGATAAAATTGTTGCTGATAAACCCATTCACGTGAAAGGTCAGTTCGGCTCCTCCTTAGTTTGGTTATGACGAAACTAGTTGGGTTTCCAGAGATATGCCTTTTTGAATTTATGTCGTTACTGAAAAACGATATTTCCTTATCTTTGATGATGTAACGCCCAAGTGATAATTTTGCATATACAGCAGCAGTTATGTCCAAAACAGCTGGGTCAATCATTGAAGCTGCGTTGAAAAGGGACCCTAATGAGATTGAATTTATACAATCAGTGCAAGAAGTTGTCCATGCTCTGGACAGGGTGATTGCAAAAAACTCCAAGTGAGTCTTGCCCAGCTCTAGCAGTTGTTTATTTTCACTCATATTTAAATAACAAAGAGGAACTCTTTAAAGTTTGTTGCCAGCCTTTTAAGCGAATCTACTGTTTTCAGCTATGTCAATGTCATAGAACGCTTGATAGAACCTGAGCGAATGGTTCTTTTCCGAGTTCCTTGGATGGATGACAGGGGTGAGACACATGTCAATCGGGGTTTTAGGGTACAGTTTAACCAGGCATTAGGTCCATGTAGAGGTGGTATGCGTTTCCATCCATCAATGAACCTCAGTGTTGCTAAGTTTCTAGGTGTTGAACAGGTACTCTTTTTATTTCTCGAATTTATTGAACCATACATGGTCAAACTTCCCCATGTCCTTACTTTCTTTTCTATTTTATCTTTATATTTGTTTGTAGATTGATTTGTTTCACAAACCACCCTATGCATGTTGTTCCTTACAGACCTTTAAGAATGCCTTATCACCTTACAAATTAGGAGGAGCAGCTGGTGGAAGTGATTTCGACCCCAAAGGAAAAAGTGATAATGAGGTAATAGTTCATTCTAGACCACGATGGTTTTCAGTTGGTCTTTCTTTTGAAATTGGGATGTTTATGATCTACTTCTGATAAATGTACTCTGGCAGGTTATGCGATTTTGCCAAAGTTTTATGAATGAGATTTACAGATATCTAGGGCCTGAAAAGGTGAAAATAATTTGTTTCATTACGTAACTCTATTCTATATCTGCTGGCTGCTGCTTCATTCCAATTTCTGATCTATTCATTTTAGGATCTCCCTTCAGAGGAAATGGGTGTTGGTACCCGAGAGATGGGGTATTTATTCGGGCAATACAGACGTTTAGCTGGTCATTTTCAGGTATTTCAGCTGCTCCATTTTTGTTGAAAATACTTATGAATGTTATTTCTGGGCTGGTCTATTTATTTCAGCTCTGCAATCTCTGTTTTGTCTTTTACTTGTCTATATGTGTGTGGTACTGATCTTTGTTTTAGGGAGGAGACACTAAGTTCTAAAGGCAAAGGGGAATTTCACAATAATGATCTTTACTTGCTTATACCATAAATTGCTGCATGTTAATACCTAGTTACCCTAAGATTTTCTGGCATTCTTGCCTCGGTCTTTTCTCCATGATAAATGCAGTTCTTTTATACTTCTCAGCATTTGAGCACATGTATATGCTTATGTAGTTCTATATGTTGTATATTGCTTAAGTACTTTATTGATTCACTTTATCATTTATGTGTTATAGGTAGCAAATAAACTTGTCTTTATGTAGTAATATTTATAATGTACTCGTGCAGGGAAGTTTTTCAGGGCCAAGAATATTTTGGTCTGGCTCGAGTCTTCGAACTGAAGCGACTGGTTATGGTCTGGTAATGCTGCTTCTGTATCTGCTCCTGCATAACTTGTTACTTGTGTTTGATTATAAAGATGATTGTTGGGACATTTTATTTTGCACTTTTGTTGTTTGATTTGCTATTATTCATTTTTGTAGCAATATTTCTCCAATCTTTCGGGTTTCAGCTGGGGGTAAATTTTCATGTTTAGTTTGAGATGATTTGCGAATTAATCAGCTCCCATGCCTTTGCAGGTTTTCTTTGCCCAACTCATACTCGCAGATATGAATAAAGAGTTAAAAGGACTAAGGTATGCTTCCAATTCTGAGTGCTTCTTGAACTTAAATGTGAAACCCAAAGGGAAAATGTGGGTGTGCTTCGAATAGTGATGTGTTTAGCTGGAACTCAGATGCCTCAATTGGTAATGTTGATGCGTGCTATATGTTGGAATAGTTTATAGATATTGTTGAGTGATCATCTGACAAGAAAGAGATTGCAACTTTGGATCTTTTGTAACAATGTAACAGTGGATTAGCAATTTGGTAAATTTCATAGTTAAGACGTTACACAATCTCTGCCTATGAAGATAGATATCACGGTCACTCAAGCAAGAATATTTTGGCCATGAGATTGAGTACCTAACCACTTTTACCTTCTTTTTTCGTCCATACTGTGGATTGGAAGAGAGCTTTGGCATGATGAGCTGTATTGATCAGAGGCTCCACATTCTTTTTTATAATGTAATGAACAATGAACTTTTGATGCAGGTGTGCTGTAAGTGGTTCTGGCAAGATTGCCTTGCATGTCCTAGAAAAGCTTATTGCTTATGGCGCTCATCCAATTACTGTATCAGGTTACCTCATATCTGGCATCTATTCAAGTAAAACGAAATTCAACGAGATCAATATGCTTATCTTGATTTCTACTTGCAGTATGGGATCTTCATTTAGGCTAGAAAGTTCGTAAAAATTTATTTGTGTTATTCTGCAGACTCGAAAGGATATTTGGTCGATGAGGACGGATTTGATTACATGAAGATATCTTTTCTGAGAGATATCAAAGCCCAGCAAAGAAGTTTGAGGTTTGATTCTCTCTCTGATATCTTTCACCAAGTTTGTGTCTGAATCTACTCTAATGGTTTCCGTGATTTCCCCATTCATGATTTTCTCTAAAATGTAGAGATTACTCAAAAACATATGCTCGATCAAAGTACTATGACGAAGCAAAACCCTGGAATGAAGGATGTGATGTTGCATTCCCTTGTGCTTTCCAGAATGAAATTGATCAGTCGGACGCCATGAATCTTGTTAATTCTGGCTGTCGGATACTAGTAGAAGGTGCTAACTCACTCCTACGTGCTTTGAATTGCTGCTTTCTTCTTCTATTGGTTGAAAAGTTAGTATGAACACAGTCTCCCCGACTCCCCCGTTCTCTCAGGTTCAAACATGCCATGCACATCTGAAGCAATTGAAGTTTTGAGAAAAGCCAATGTTCTCATTGCTCCTGCTATGGCAGCTGGTGCTGGAGGGGTAGGATATTTTTCATTCAAATAGTTTGTCGGTTCATCTTCTAATTCATGAAGACACAAAGACGCCTTGAAGCATATGATTATGTGGCGGAACTTTTTCGCTTTGCACAGGATATTGCTGAGAGGTTTACCTTCAAAGCAGTTCCTAGCTCTCGTTGGAAGCAGATGAAAGTTGACCCATAACAATTTTTGCATGCTAAAGATGCACAAATTACAAACTTACTTCCATACATGCAGGTTGTTGCTGGAGAGCTGGAATTGAACCACGAGTGCAATTTGATGAACTGGTCTCCTGAAGATTTTGAATCGAAGTTGCAGGTAGCTACAGTTGCATCAGATGTTTTTGTTGACACCAATCACGTGGAGCTAGTGCTCTCCATAGGTTATAATGTAGTTGACCAAAAAAAATTGGCGTATGTTTTGTGAGTGATAGGAAGCAATGAAACAAATATACCAAAGGGCACTCAAAGCAGCGAATGATTTTGGCTATCAGAAAGAGAGCCCCGAGTAAGTTTCCCAGTTTATCTATGCATGTAATCTTTGACTTCTCTGAGACTTCTGCATGCAATTTTCTACTATTATGTAGGAAGAAAATCTGAAAAAAGTGAATAACTTAATATCTACTTCATCTCTACCGAGAGATCAATCTTGTTAATGCACGTTGCAACTTCTTGACACGCAGGGCTTTGGTTCATGGGTCTGTGATTTCTTCATTTCTGGCTATTGCTCAAGCTATGACTGACCAAGGATGCGTATAGATGACGGCCAACAAGTAACTAATGATTTACCTTACCTCCTGCCAAAGTTGGTATATACTCGTCAAAGAGCTAACCGACTGTTGTTTCTCCATGGTGAAAGCTCAATCACCATTTGCAGCCATGTGCGAGGCTAAGGTTTATGGTGAGAAGAATGAAGGCGATTCTTCCTGCTAGTTGTAACATAACTTATAACATGACCCACCAAAGATCTCAAAAGGGGGTCAAATGTTGGAATATATTAATAGAATGGTGTAAAGAAAAATATGGGTTAGTTGTAGGGAGTAGGTAGGAACCTTATGGACAGGAACTGTGTATTTTATGTTGAATTCTTGTCACATATGAGATTATGTGACTTGGAAATAGAATTTCATAATTTACGGCTGGAATTTCTCTTCCATTTTACACATGCAATATCTGCCTTCTGTCATTATTTCCGTAGTACTTGGGTTAATTCGCAGCCGTTTATCACTTTACTTGGACCAGTTTCTCTTTACTCGTCGAATGGCAAAGCCAGCCTCGAAATTTCATAAGTTTTTATCGGGTAAATGCCTCATTTGGTAAGTTAGAGTACTAAATCATGTTATATTTAGTCACTAGAAAAAAATTAATATTAATTTTGATCACTCGAATTATTGAAACATGTCATATTTAGTCACTCATTAGTTTTTGTCTAACTCCATTAACGGAGAGACTAACAGAGAGTGATTAAATGTGACATGTTTTAGTAATTCGAGTGACATTCATAAAAAACAAAAAACAAAAACGAGTGACCAGAGTTAGAAGGAGGCTAACGAGAGAGTGGCTAAATGTGACCTATTTTAGTAATTCGAGTGACCAAAATTGATATTAATTTTTAATAAGTGACCAAACATAACACGATTTAATAATCTCAATGACCAAATGTGACATTTACCGTTTTTATCCTATACTTATTCAATGCGTCGATAATTTGTATTCAAGAATTCTGTTAATAGAAATCTATAACCACAAACAATCTCAACTTAACATGCACATTTGAATACAGTTTCGGAGGAAGGTTGGATGCTTTTACAAGGAGTCCAAGCTCATGTTCCATAGACTGTTGGTGGCTGAAATTTCAGATTTCAGTGCAAAGGTAAACAAAACTTTACCCTTATTGAAACAAAAGTCTACCTGCAAATTCATTTTTTCAAAAGTGTTCCTGTCTGCTTTGGCGGTTTTCGCATTCTTCGAATCTGCAAAGCAGAAAGAGGTTTTACCAATCCACATCCGCCACCTCCATTCAATATTAGCAGCAAAGCTCAAGTCTCACATAAAGTTTTGATAAAAACACAGCCTAGATTACAACACATCATTAATAAGTTCATCTAGTTGGCTCTCCTTGACGAAGAATGATGAGATGATGAGTCGGATTTCTCGGCCAGATAGTGCTCCAGCATGTCTTCCTCGTCGTCTGCTATGTTATCAAAAGAAAAAGGTTTCTGATGAGAATCAAAACCAAGGGTGGCATTGAATGGAAGGGCATCAAAATAAATAGTTTGAATTAACAATAAGGGAATAACCATCAAAATCGTCATCATCAAAGTCGATATCTTCTTCATCTTCCTCCTCGGACCCTTCGTTGACAGGTGCTGCACCTCTCTGCAGGGAGGACAATATAGCATTTTACTATGACTGATTATTTATGACTAATAATAACATCATTAGTTTCTACTGTGCTTATCTAGAAAAATTGTCACAACAAACAGTCAGCAACAGAGGTATAACATACCCCTTTACCACTTTCGAACCACTGTCTGCCCGTAAGCTTCTTCTCTTTCGGGGCGGAGAGTACAGACTCGGGCATCAACCTGAAGAATGGTTATTTGCCATTAGTTATCACTAAACAATATTTAAGAAAAGAGACTTCACTCTTGGCATTAATTTCAGCAAGGGAACCATGTTGAAAATTGACATGCTTTTTATTTTTGACACTTGTTGCTATAATCATTTTACAACGAAATGAGATATAAGCCTATAGTCGAAGCCAAACCTCAAGAGTTAAAGATTATACAAGCAGATAGCCGAAGAGCTACGCAGCCAATTAAAATTTTGCAGGGATTGACACATCGAAAAGCAAGATCTTCAATTCTTCATTGATCAGAAGGTGAAGTGCATTATAGAACAGATACCAAACTCGTGCAAAATTGATACTCTCTTTCGGATTGTATAAACTTTCTGATGGGCTGGAAACCCCCCTAAGGTCTCAAGAATATAGCATTTTTCCACTTGCAGAGTTATAATTGTTTCTAGCAAATATCAACACAGAAGAGATATAACTCTTTCTATCATTAGGGTTAGTATCGAGAGCACTATAGTTTTACAAACCACCATCAACCTTCTTCTCATTCATTATGAAGGGAGTTGCCTTTTAAATGAGACATAGCATTTTGAAATGTTCAGTTCCTCTCAAGTGCCCAATTAATCTTAACTTGAAAATGAAACCTGTGGTCTCCATTGTATGAATATCAATTGATAACAAGTTTAGCCATGAAATGAAACATTCGTTCAACTTACTTTGCTCGCTCAAGTGCCAACTCTGCTTCAAATCTCTCCCTCCATGCAATGAAAGTCTCAACAGTGACTGGTTCTCCATGTGGTATAATTACCTATCTCAAAGAAAAATAAGATATGCAGAGGTGAAAAATCGCACCAGTGTAAAAGAGAAGCTACAATGGACCAGGTGTAATAAGCATGTTATAAGAGATACACATACATCGTCTTTGATTGCCTCGAGATCCTCAATATCATCATTCTCATCATCTTGACCATATAAATCAGTCAGCCAATCTTTAGCTGACGAAACCAGTGTGTAGATCATTGCCATACCTAGATTTTCAGATGCCTGTAAGAGTAAAAGTCAAATTATACCGCTAATCACGAACTTTCTAAAGTTTATCAAGTAACTACGAAAGATGTTTTGAGTTCCGTGTACACTAGTTAAACATAATTCAATCAGTAAGAAAAAAACCCACAACCCCATGCCATCCCGGATCTTGAAGCTCAAATGAAGTCAAAAGTGGTATCAAGATTTATTGCGGCAGCTAAGCAGGAAATAGTAATAATATCAAGTTGCTTGGTTTTCCAAATGCATGGTAAAATTTCAGGAAGCCATGGAGCAAATATTACCCAGAAGAGTACACTACAGTGAAATAAATCACAACAGACCATATGGTTACCTCTTGTTCAAGCTTTTCCTTTAACTTCTTAAGATCACTTGGCTGTACACCTTTTATGCTGACAAAACACAGAAACAAAGAGGAACGAATAAATAATATAGTAGGGACAAGAGATTTCAAGCAAGTATACGGAAAAGAAGGTGGCTAATCTGTTGTACAGCCATATGATGCAGAAGGAGCTGTTTTAGACTCGAAAAAAACCAGACAAAGTTGAGAACAAAAGTAACGTTGAGATTCCTTTTCCTTCTTAATACTGACCTTGTCACATTCAAAAGTGGAGGTTCATCTGGATATTTTTCTGTGTGGGAGAAAATTAGGCCTAGCTGAACTGTAAAAGAGTTGCAGAAACAGTGTTATCGAAAAGCTGGAATAGCAAAGGGAGAGATTAGGGATTCACCAATCACTTACGTTCACAAAAAGGAAAACAATGAGAAAACAGGAAAAAGGATAACCTGGGGTAGTTGTTGACTGGTCTATGTCATCATCCTGTTGATAACAAAAGTACATGGAAAGGTCATCAGAAAACCTGTGTTAAAAAAAAGGTAGCGCCATGACTCATGAGAATGACGGTACCTGTGGAGTGATTGTTATCTGGAAACACCGAGATGAAGTATTTAAACCACTCTCAGAGGAATGGATTTCTGACAACAAAACCAAAATCGTATCAAAATTATAGGCCAAGACAAGGATCACAATTGGCATCACCAAACTAACCACACATTCACATACCTTTGAACTCATCCATAAGTATAGCTTCCAATGCTTCAATTTCCATCTCCTGCTCTTGTGCATAGTCTGATCATTACAACAGAAGAACGCAATCATATAAACATCATAAAGTAGCAATTTTTAGCCACCATTCTCATTGCACCACCCTCATGAGGTTGGCTGATCACAAACAACAGGTTCCAAAATACTAAAACCAATATACAATGACACCCTTAACTTCTAGCAATCACCAAAAGTAGAATTGACAGACTCCCCAGACTTCCCTCAATCCACCTCCACCACTAATTTATCAAGAGAAAACGCAATTGCAGGTTCTTGGAAGCTCTAATTCCACAAGTTTCACAATCCACCTCAGCATCTAAATTGGACGACATAATCCCCCTCCCCCTTTTCCAACACACGGAACAACAATCAATATTGAGAGCCAGCTGAAGAGAAACTTAAAAAGGCGACAACTTGATCCTTGGAGCAGAGTTGACACTTGAGCCAAACTGAACTAAAGTACGAATGCAATTTCACCCCCAAAACATAATTTCATACTGGGTAAAAGGCCAAGTGAATGATCGATGGATTGGTTCAGGGTTCAGGGAGGAAGAAAGAAAAAATTTACCGGTCATGATGGCTTATATCGCACGCTCTTACTTTCTCTCTACGTATCGGCGGCTTTCTTCAATGGAGGAGGGTGTGTCCTGTTGAGATCAAGGCGAACCGGCACGAGGCAGCTGAGCAAGAGACGGAGAGAAGCAACACCTATCGCCTCCAGCAGAAAACGGCTCTATACGATGAGTTGGGACTTGTGGTTCGCTTTCTCCGTTCCATCGTTCTTTCTAGAGGCGTTCAAATGGTTACCATGGTTATAACTTATAAGTTATAACCAAATCAAATAAGGCTAAATTCCATTAACAATGGAATACAATATCATAACCAAACCGTCCATACTAATACAACAACCAAATTAACCAAACTAAAGTTTAATCGGTTTGGTTAATTGGTTAACCAGATTAACCAATATAAAATCACATTATCATTGACGATGAAAATTTTTCGGTTAATGCAACAATTCACAATTTATATATTGAATAAAACATAACAACCAACACGTAGTTATAGTTGACCCTTAACAAAAATACATGCAACTAAGACAATTATCTTACGATTAGTATAGAAGTATTCACCTAACAAAAATTTATGACAATGGTATGGGTTATGAATTGTTGTGTTTGTGTAAATTGACTTAGTCTCTTAGCAATTATCATAGGCTGGAAATTATCTTCTTTTCAAGTTTTCATCCATCATAATGTTTTTGTCAAAAAAAAAATTCCATCATAATGTATCAAATTTATCTAAATTAGGCGTCCATATGTTGTGGTCTACATTTTATATATAAATATACACTATATGAGCAATATTGAGCTTTATATCTTATGAGTCTAAAAGGGATGAACGTTAACACTTGAGTGGTTATGCAAAGTATTAAGTATGTGTATATAATATATGTTAGATATATGACTAATTACTTAACTGGTTAATTTGGTTGGACTGGTTAGGAGTGTCTGAAACCAAACCAAACCACCTAAACCAAACAAGCTAAAAACTTAAACCAAACCAAACCAAACCAATTATCCAAATTAACCAAACCAAATTATCCAAATAGTACCGGTTAAAACGGCTACCATGGTAACCAAACCGTTTGAACACCCCTAGTTCTTTCGGTATTCATGGGTTCATTTTTCGGTAAAGCAAGGTTGTCAACCGGTTTATTGCTTTGTTCCTAGGGGTGTTCAAATGGTTACCATGGTTATAATCAAACCAAATATGGCTAAATTCCATTAACCATGGAATACAATATCATAATCAAACCGCCCAAACTAATACAACAACCAAATTAACCAAACTAAAGTTTAATCGGTTTGGTTAATTGATTAACCAGATTAACCAATATAAAATCGCATTATCATTGACGATGAACCAACAATTCGTAATTTATATAATGAATAAAACATAACAATCAACACGTAGTTATAGTTGACCCTAACAAAAATACATGCAACTAAGACAATTATCTTACTATTAGTATAGAAGTATTCACCTAACAAAAATTTATGACAATGGTATGGGTTAATGAATTGTTGTGTTTGTGTAAATTGACTTAGTCTCTTAGAAGTTATCATAGGCTGGAAATGACATTCCTTTCAAGTTTTCATCCATCATAATGTATGAAATTTATCTAAATTAGGCGTCTATATGTTGTGGCCTCCACTTTACATATACAAATATACACTATATGAGCAATATTGAGCTTTATATTTTATGAGTCTAAAAGGGATGAACGTTAACTCTTGAGTGGTTATGCAAAGTATTAAGTATGTGTATATAATATATGTTAGATATATGACTAATTACTTAACTGGTTAATTTGGTTTGACTGGTTAGGAGTGTCTGAAACCAAACCAAACCACCTAAACCAAACAAGCTAAAAACTTTAACCAAACCAAACCAATTATCCAAATTAACCAAACCAAATTATCCAAATAGTGCCGGTTAAAACGGTTACCACGGTAACCAAACCGTTTGAACACCCCTATTTGTTCCGGTTAAAAGTTATTATATTGTTGAGCACTTCTACTATACAACTTGAAGTTGTACAATAACATTAAATGTGTAAGTTTAGGTTGTACCATAAAGGAATTTGTATCATTATGTTATGGTACAACTTTACAACTTGAAGTTGTACCATCACCTAATGTACAAGTTTAAGTTATACCATAAAAGAATTTATACAGAAAGTCTAGGTACAATCTGAAGTTGTACCATAACGTTAAAGGTACAATTTCAAGTTGTACCATAAAGGCAAAATCCTATAGCACCAATGCTATATAGCATTGTAAAATTCCTCTATATTGTTTATATATATATATAAATTATATCACATGATTGATAATATATAATAATACACTAAACGGTTTTGAATCCAATATATATTAAAAATTTAAATACACTCATATAATATTAATATTCAAATGTTCAACCTAGAAATCCAAAGATAGGGTTAGACGAAGGAAAAAACCGAAAAAATGAGCAATTCGCAAACCAAAAGAAAAATTGACGCCATGTGGTCTTCAACACAAAACTTTGTTGCAGATTGACTCGCAGGTGTGTGACGCCTTTTTTTCTCACCGGATCAAGATCAACACGTGAGTTGACAACTTTGGTTTAAACTTTAAAGATTATAAACATGATCACTAATTTTATTATATTTTTGACAAAGAGGTCGCTAAACTTTAAGACTTCACCAACCTGTTGCCTAAAATCTGTGTATGAAATGATCACTTAGCCCAACTCCATCCATCTACTCTACTTATAATACGCCGAAGCCTAAAACTGAACCCCCCATTTTGAATTTGCTGCCTCCGAAGCGTTTCTCGGAGGGGTATTTTTGGACACGGAAAAAATACCTCGGTTCATATTGCGTTGAACGGGCCTGGTGGTTTATTTGTTCCGTCGGTACGATCAGCGCTCGCTCCCTTCATTGATTTCACCGTCGAATACAGTCAGCGCGCTGTCTCTGGCCAATGTCTTCACCGACGGAATCCGTTCGCCTTATTTTGTGTGGTCAGTCGGAGCAGCGCTCTCCCCGTTCTGTGTCTTCACCGGCGAAATCAGTAAGCGCGCTCTATCCGTCCAGTTCTTCGCCGTCGAAATTAGACACCATTCGAGCGCTAGTTGTCACCCCATGGTGTCGATTCATTGAACTGCAGTTATGAAGGTAACCCGACTCTCCGTACTTTGTCTTGACCCCCGAAATCAGGTAGAATTAAAGTTTCAGCTCCATGTAGGGTTGAGTTTAGTTAGGTAATCGAATTCTACGTTGTCCGTCTTCACCGCCTAAATCAGTAAGAAATCTATTTTCGAATTCATGTATGTTTAAGATGAGTTATTCGTGGTTGGGATTCAAGGTTCAGGATGGACCTTTTTACCTCGAAGGGTTGTGCGAACAGGGTCTGAAAGCTTTGTTGTTATCAAAGCTTTGGTGGTTCATTCGTAGCAGCTTAACTCCTTTGTCTGGTAATTTGAGTTCTAACTGCTGGCTTGATTTGATCTGTATCCCAACAGAGTTTGGTTTTCTTCTATTATTAGACCTTTAACTTCATAGCCTGTAGATTGGATTTGTGCTCCATACCCTACACACGAACAACAGAACATAGATGATCTATTTTATTTGTTCGAAAACCAGAAGTGGATTCTCTTTGTTACTCACCTGTTTTGAGGTATAATCAATATAGTCAGTGCATAGTGTTTTTAAAGCATCAAATGTTGCAGCATTGCATGGCAATTCATCAGGCATCAACAGGAGTCTTCGTTAGTCTTCACCTTGTGCGTTATTTCTCGGTTATGGATTGGTGGTCATTAGTCAAAACCCAATCTCACAACTTGGTAACTATTGTTTTTCCAGGGAATGTCGGGCAGTCTTTTATAATCTTGAAGATGAGGGACAACGCTTCATTTTATCTGCTGAGGAAGAATTTGTGTTTGAAAAAGGTACATATCCATCGGTCTTCACGTTCACCATGCCTCCCCTATTATAAATTGTTTTGATTCATACTTATATGTAATTTTGCAGCACAAAGCCAGTTGCAAGCTGAACTGCAATGTATTGAAAAAGTTATTTCCCAACTAGCACGACAGAGGAGACATCTAATTTTAAAAAGGAAGTGCAAGCGCAAGCGAATGAATGTCATACATAAACAACTTGAGCAATTGAATGGTTGGTATTTTGTTGTGTGTTTGTCTTAATCTGAATTTATAGTGAACTCATATTGTTTGTTTTTAAAATTATTTAGATACTGGAAGGTTGGAGACTGAGTATCTTAATATACTCAGCAAACGAAATCGGTTGTACCGCCGTATCCATTTGGTCGAAAAACGTCGACGCCAATCCCTTCTCCAAAATCGGTCCAACCAGAGTATGTGTTGTCCAAGATGGGAGAATATATTTCTTGTAGATGTTGGTGTATTGTTCTTTTGCAGTTCACATTTTGTTCATCTTTTGGATATAAATGTAAAGGGGATAAAATTATTCTTATTATTACAATTCTGGAATGACATATGTGTCTTTGCATTTCATTATTCTCATCATTACTTCTGTATACTGGATAAATTTTTCTCATTATGTTCTGTGTTATAGGTCTTCCAATTGTCGAGTTTTTCGATATTGGATTCCCATCATGCACTTGTCTACATTGTGGTGCTGTGTTTTGGCGGTATGAGAGCACGTCGTCCCCAAGGAATCATTCAAATCCTTCGTTTGGTTTGTGTTGTAAGCATGGTAAGGTGAAGCTTCCTACGCATAGAGATCCTCCAGAATTCTTGAAGACCTTACTTGAAGATGATACTGCAGAAAGCCGTCATTTCCGCTCTAACACGAGAGGTTATAATGGTATATTTTGTTTCATTTCCATCAGTGGGAAAGTTAATCACTCCATTAATGATGGAAAAGGTGTTTACGTGTACTCAATTGAAGGTCAAATTTATCATCGAATTGGAAGCTTGGTTCTGACGGTGTCAGTCCTAAATTTGTACAACTATACATTCATGATTCAGACAATGAGGTTCAAAATTGCATGGAATTTTACTCTTCAGATCCTGATAGGAATCCCTTACGCGCATCTATTGTTCAAGGTCTTCAAGAAATGCTTGATGCGAATAATGTTCTGGTACGTACTTTTCGTTCTGCGAGAGATAAGATAGTTGAGTCTGGTGTTAATGAATTTCAGCTTAAATTATTTGCTAAGAGGGAAGGTAATGGTAGGGAATACGATTTGCCCACTACAAATGAGATTGCGGCGTTGATTGTTGATGAAACCGAAATTGAAACATTCTCTCTTGATATAATCGTTCAACATCGTAGTTCTGAGATGGAAAGGATAAGTTCGTATCATCCCAGTCTTATGCCTTTACAATATCCAATTTATTTCCATATGGAGAAGATGGGTGGCATCCAAATATTAGTTTTCTTCAAAATACAAGTGGTGGAGGGGAGAAAATGGTATTGCAATGTGATTATTATAGCTATCGTCTGCAAACTAGGGTTGTTGAATCAAATTCTTTGTTACTCTTTGGGAAATTATTTCAACAATATATGGTGAATGCATATGCTCTAATTGAGGCGGAACGCTTGGACTGGATGCGTAACAATCAGTCAAAGTTAAGAGGGAACCATTATCAGGGGTTGGTAGATTCTCATTTGCAAGGTAATAGTGATCTTAAGCTGTCCGGAAAGCCATTGATTCTAGGGGCATCACATACTGGAAGTCCAAGTTACAAGTATGAAAATTTCCAAGATGCTATGGCCATTTGCAAATGGATTGGATATCCTGATTTGTTCATCACATTCACATGTAACTCGAATTGGCCTGAGATTCAATTGATGATTGATTTGATTAGACAATTCACTGCAAGGATCCTAATCGAGCTGATGTAATAGCAAGATTTTTCAAGATTAAACTAGATGAATTGACAATGGAGATTGTGGGCAAGGAAATTTATGGCAAAATCAGTGCATGTACGTCCCATTTGTAAAACCTTATATATTCTTATTTTCCAGTTCATTACCTATGTAATTAGGGTTTCTGATCATTCTTTTCTTTTTTACGGATGTAAAAGCGCTTGAATGGCAAAAACGTGGTCTCCCTCATGCACATATGCTTTACTTCTTGGCCCCTGAGAATAAGCTTTATGGACCAGCTGATATTGATTCTGTAATTTGTGCTGAAATCCCAGATCCTGACCTTGATCCTGAGCTTTATGCAATAGTGACTGCTTCTATGATGCATGGACCATGTGGGTTATTACGGCCGACTAATTCATGCATGAAGAATGGTAAACGTAGTAAACATTACCCAAAAGAATTTTGTGATAAGACAACAATAGATGACAATGGGTTTGCCAAATACCGTCGCGCAATAATGGTAAAGTATTCAAGTGTGGAGAAATTGAGCTTGATAATCGATGGGTTGTACCCTATAATCGATATCTATCACTACGTTTTGGAGCTCATATCAATGTTGAATTTTGCAACAAAACAAGGTTAGTGGGTCATTCTTCCCTTCTTATTTTTTATATTATTTCACAGTTGTTTGTTGCATTCAATATGCGTACTGAATATTATAAAGTAGTTAAACGAATTAGTTTATTTCAAATTTATTTATTTCTATCGTTGTTATTAATTTTTATGGGAGGTATAGTTCACATAAGGTCATGTATTCTATATATCAACTAATTCCTCTAGACACATGAACTAAATTTTTTAAGGCTGTCAAATATTTGTTTAAGTATATAAACAAACCTGAGGATCGTGCTATGGCAACTTTGGCTATGCAACAAAATACATAAGGTGTTTTGTCTGGCTCTTCGAAGAACACAGTAGTGCAAATTGATGAAATTAAAGCATTTATGGATGCCCGTTACATAACATCTGGTGAAGCGTGCTGGCGAATATTTAAATTTGATATTTATAATCAGTCTCCACCTGTTCTTCGAATGTCATATCATTTTCCTGGAGAGAAGATAGTGTATACCAATGCAAATTTCCGTGTGCAAGATGTAATTGAAGATAAAGGGAAAACAATGCTTTTGGCATGGATATATCTAAATGCTAAGTCACCCAAAGCTCACAAATACAGCTTTGCTGAACTGCCACAACATTATGTTTGGAAGAATAGGAGAAAGGTGGCTAAAGCGTAAGAGAGGAATGTGTATAGCAAGACTATATAACTGTTATCCATCTGCACAAGATAGATACTACTTGCGTATGTTATTGCACGTTGTGAAGGGTTGTTGTAGCTATGAGGATATTAGAACCGTGAATGGTATTACTCATCCTTCATTTCAGAAAGCATGTTATGCACGAGGTTTGCTTGCTGCCGATACTGAATGGAATGATTGTCTTAAGGAATTTTCTTTTTGGGCTACTGGGTATAAACTTAGGAAACTATTTGTGAGTATACTTATTCATTGTCAAGTGGCTGATGTCCAATCCTTTTGGGAGACTGATTGGATGATATTTAGCGATGCTATTTTGTACTCCAAAAGAAAACAGCTGAGGCAGCCACATTGAACTTGGATGAGCATATCATTAAAGATATGTGTTTGCTTTCCATAAATGAGATATTGAATAATTATTCCAAGACATTGGCTGATTTTCCTGGATTGCCAATTCCTGAACAGTGTATGGCATCACTTGATATCAATAGGTTGGTTGTCGAAGAGTTGAGTCATTTCTCTACTGACAGGTATTCTGAAATAGATGATGTTTATACGAAGTTGAATGTTGAACAAATAATTGCTTTTGACAACATTTTGGATTCAACAGATAAAGGTGGGGGCAAAACTTTCTTTGTTGATGGTTACGGTGGTACTGGAAAAATCTTTTTGTGGCGAGCGATTTGTACAAAACTGAGACGAGGGAAAATCGTGTTATGTGTTGCATCATCTGGTATTGCTGCTTTGCTAATGGTGGGAGGAAGGACTGCACATTCAAGATTTTGCATTCCTATCAATTGTGATTCTAAGTCAACATGTCACATAGAACAAGGTTCAGACTTAGCACAATTGATTCAAAATACTTCTCTGATAATCTGGGACGAAGCACCGATGGCTCATAAGCATAGTATAGAAGCTTTGGACAAGACATTGAGGGATATCTTATTAACCAAAGTTGTTAATTCTGGTAACACGGTTTTGGTGGTATGACCGTGGTTTTTGTTGGTGATTTTAGGCAAACACTACCTATCATTGCTAAAGGTACTAGGACGGAAATAGTTAACAGTTCTATTAAACGGTCATATTTGTGGGGTTCAATGATTGTCCTGAAGTTAACACAAAATATGCGGCTAGCCCAAGGCAATTCTGCAAATGGTTCAAATCTTGAACTTGAACATTTCAGTAAATGGCTTTTGGAAATTGGTGAAGGAAGGCATAGTAATGTTTTTGGGGAATCGATTATATCTATACCACCAGAGATATCTGTAAATCGAAGGTCAAATCCTATCTCTGATATTGTTGCTGAAATTTATCCAGACTTGGTTACTCAACATAATTATGGCAATTATTTCGTCGAGCGTGCTATCTTATCACCACACCATGACACTGTGTCAACTGTTAACAATTATGTCTTGGGACTCTTTCCCGGACAGGAGGTTACTTATTGTAGTTGTGATTCTATTGAGATTGATGCTAAGGAAACCCATGTCATTGAGGACGACTATACTGTTGAATTCTTGAATTCTTTGAAGATTGGTAATTTTCCAGAGCATGAGTTGAAATTGAAGGTCGGATTCCCTGTTATTCTTCTTCGAAATATGGATCAAAGCATAGGTCTTTGCAATGGAACTAGAATGGTTGTCAAGCGATTGGTTTAATGGTTGTCAAGCAATTCGTCTAGACTTCTGTCAAGGTAAACTTCTTTTCCATCTTAGCACAATCTAGCTGAAAATTTTAAATCCGACATTTGTGTTCAATTCAGAAATTATATTTTAGTCAATTTCATTAGCTATCTGATTTCTATGTTTTCTGCATATTTCATCCAACCTAGAAATATTACCAGAATTCGATAGGACTAAAAATTATCACATTCTATATGTTTTAAAAATCTCACTAGACTTGGTGTTCTATCCATTTCCTTCGTGGTACACAAAATACAGACTGAGTTCTGGATTCGGATTTATGTATTCACTTACATACATAACCGCTTCTGTATCACTATCCCACCTACATACATAGCAGCCTGAATCGTGTAGCAGATAGTGATATTCGACTTGCTTTTAATGCCGAAACCATCTTGACTCAGGTGGATGATGATACAAACATTGAATTTTTCAGCTTTCGGTTTCTCCCCGTCAGTCAATTCTGTCAGGCTCATCAGAATCAGTTGAATCTACCAGGTATTTGTTTTGTGCACCTGCTTGCAACTAATATCCATTGTTCTGCTAAACCGCACCTCAAATCAAATTTTTTTGGTCTACCATATTTGGTTGGTGTTATTGTTGAATGTGCACCCACCGAGTTCTTGCATCCTTGCTTGCCTTTATGGAAGAAACGCATCACCATCCGATTAATTGAGTTTGTTCTGGATTTTTTCCCTAATTAGTTTTTTTTTGTATGCATGAAATAACACAGATGAATAATAGATTTTTCCTTTTTTGATAGAGGTGTGTTAGCGAATGTATTTTTATGGGATCAATGATCAGAGGCTTTGAGAATAACATATATGATACTGAAGCTATAGGACAGGTAGCTGTGTTCACCTCTCTGTATATTGATGAGCAAGAAGGTAATTCAACTTAATAAATTGCTACTGTTTGAATTATTATGCATCAGAATGCTTAATGTGAACACGCGAATTAAGTGATGTTGTGAAACTTCTCGAACTGTTAATCATGTGCTTACTAGAATCTTATCGTGTGATGCATCTCTACTTGATAAATAGTCCAGTATAGAAAACCCTTCTGGCATCATACATCTATTGCCTATGTGTAATACATCTATGGATAGCAGTAGTACTCACTGTATAAGAGTATAAAATTAGTCATTTAGAATTATGAATTGTGAATCATAGGGAAGTGCAGTAGTGTTTGAGTGTCTAGAGTGAAAAGTACATGTTTTTTCTACTGTTAAACTCAGTTCAGTAGGCTTTTTGTATTCCAAAATGTTTTGATTCTTGGTTTTGTTGCTTCACATATTATTGCCTTTAGCTGATGTGTTTAGCTCATTATCCAGCAGCATGATTAAATGTTATGATTTTTGTTGAATAGAATTAGTATGCAAAGCTAAGTGGGCCTGTAACTTGAAGCTTTGAATTCAGAGATTTTATAGTGACTTTTACTGATTCGTTTGTTTTGTCCATGCACCATAGGATACTATTCCTTTCGAGCATCTCGAGCTACCAAGGTCTATTTGAACATTCATTGTCCTCGCTCCATCCTTTCTTAGATCGGTAATTGTTAAACAACTATTTTTCCACTATCATTCCATTTATGCTTGAACATCATTGTAATTTTATTTGTTATTTTTCACTACTCAATATAGGAATGGTGAACTAAATCTAGGACCAACTGACATGGTAAGAGACCTTTCCTATGAGCAAGATGTGGGTACATTACAATTCACTCATGCTGAACAACTCAATTTGATGAGATTTGACTTTGCAAATATGAGAAACACTGTCAATATCTAAACCATCCATGTCAAAGTCTTTCTTTGACAAGTACTATATGTGATTCCAAGTTCTTATCCTTTTTTTTTGGGTTTCTTTTGATAGGGAAATACATTTATGCTTAGTGAAAGTGTAAAAGAGGTGTCTATCTCATGTTCACTTGATGCTCAATCAAGTATTGTTTATTTTACAATTAATGATCCTAGCTCAACATTGGAAGTCATGTTCCCCACTGCTCAGCTGAGACAGATTGCTAGAAATGTCTTCACTGCAGATAATCTTGATTGGGATGTGAACTTCAGGGCCATTCTTAGTTCCATACATGGAAACCCCTATCATTTTAGTGTCGAAGTTGGGGAGTGGAACGAAACAGCGAATCGCTGTGATTTGATCCTGCTGAAGTTGTTTGTTGTATAGGTCTTTTAGCTTTGGTAAACGATGGTGGCCTCTTTTGCATCTTATTAGGGGTTTGCTTATGGCTGTTCAACAAATAATTAGACTCTTTCTATGGGTTTTTATTTAAGTGTTAGTATGATTGTGCAAGAGAGTAGCCCTACCAGGTTTGAAATGGATTTCTATGTAAATATTCATACGTTATTCTATTATCAATTTTACAAATGCATTGTTTATGTCCTTTTGCCAGATCATATGTAGAGTCGTTTCCATTTTTGTCTATGTTATGGTTTCGATAGTATGCGTAATAAGTGATGCTTTTTGAGCAATTTGGGTTCATCTTTCATCTTTAACTTTTGCATGGTTGGGAATCCATTTTCCAGAAGAAAAATTACTTAGTTTGTTGGAAATCCATCTTTCATCTTTAACTTATTCCATATGTGACCGATTTCTATGCTTTTTTGTTTTATCTTCAGGATCAAGTGGGATAATTACTCCCTCATTTGTTAACCTTAATTTATTACTAATGATAGAGTTTGTCCATCTAGAGGGCTTGATATAGTTTCGTTAGATGACATTGTTGGTGTTAGTTAACAGTGGAGAGTTCTGCATAACATAAACTTCGATTGTTGAGTTGTGTTTGTGTCTGCCACTTGTTTTGGTATTGGTTCTTGAGAGGTTGGTCTGCATTCTTTCCTCCTATTTCCCCACTGCTCTGTCGCATGGGTTTTACTGACCAACACCGCCATGTTTTGTAACCTTGGCTTTTGCCTCTCCTTTAAAAAAAACAAAACTTTAACCCATTCATAATTCAACAATCACATCTGCATGAGAATTATTGTTTATGGATCGAGCAAAATGTAAGTTGATGATGAATGGTGTTAAACAAGAATGTGGCACTGAAAAGGACAAGAGAATGTGAAGCACGAATAAGGATATGAATTAGGCAAAACCGAAACATGAAACGACAGAAGCAGAGCCTCATGTATTCAGCAAACATCTGAATTCAATGCGTGGCGGTAATTAAGCATGTGGATTAAGCATGTGGATTAGTCCACCTTTTCACATACTATCTCCATGCTATCCATCAATCTGATTTTGATACAAAGCGATGTTCATGGACTATTATCATTGCATCCATACAACAACAAAATAAACTACCAACAATAAGACATTCATACAATTTTTTATGGAACACCGCTAAACGGATGAAGTACTTGCAAAAGAGTGTTGCGTTTACAATTCCAGTATTCTTAAAGGATAGGAGAAATGATATACAAGTGGACTACTTAGAAACATTACTAGATTTCATTCAGATTGCGTAGATGGTAATCAATTGCCTAAAGGCAAGAACAACTTTACCAAGAACAGCTCAAAATAATTGAACATGTTGTTCCAGGGACCGATTGTGACCATGACCTCATAATTGTTTGCACCAAGCAAGTTGAGTAGTGTTTCAAAGTCGGCATTGCCAGCATCATTGCGACTAACTATAGATGCAATTATCCTTCGTAAGTATGACGATGGGAATACCACCTCAACATCACTGAATTGATCCTCAATAGTTAAGTGGATCAAATGTACTCTAGATTGAGCACACCAAGAAGACCTCACTTTTGTGACACGTCCGGATAAGAGGTAACAAGTGCCCTGGTATTTAATTAAAAATCAATATATTTGAGAAAAAACAACAAATATGAAATATTATAACTATATAACTAATGGGGAACGATGCATAACAAAAAGCTTATTTGGATTACCTCATTATCACCATTCACTTGCAATAGTATAAGATCCACGGTATCAACAACATGAGACATGGCTACGGCTTCTTCATAGCTCAGATTTGCAATGAAATCAGGAGCAACGATAAAATGCCAATAAATTTAACCGGTCACGAATGCAAATAACTTGAAAAATTAAGCATAATAGTCGTTTGTGTTAGGGGTTTATTGGTCAAACAATACTTACGGGTTCCATGGTGGTACGTCATCCATGGTTCATAAACTGCACCACCGATTCCTTTCTCAAATTCTGTTTTCATAAGTACTTATGAAGGAGGTTAGATAAATACATGCAACATATGTAACCGCCGGTGGAGTTCTTTCTCGATCGTAATCGTAGCCTGCATAGAAATGAATCATAGGTTGGAATCGTTAATTTACAAGTTGGTACTCATTCTAAGACACAGTCCACATAGTTTGGAGAGGTTTAAGTAAAGGAAAGAACCTGTAGCGGTGGGTACTGTTCGCTGGGAGGTGCAAACTGAAAGCTTCGACTCCTAACGCGGTTAGTTCGATTTCCCACCAATAACCTTATGTGACATTATAAATGGATTTTATAATGTCTTACCATTGCGTGATTCCATTTATTTTCTAGGGATGTAAACCAAAACTACTTCATCAGTCACCTGACATATGCGGAAGCTGTCGCAGTTAGTCCTCTCTGTATTTCTGTAGACCTTATTGACTTTCAAAGTGACAGAACCAACATGGTACTCATCTATCCTCTTCAAATCGAACTTAACTTCTTAACAAAATTGCTATGGTGTTCATGAGCTAACTTGCTTATACTTTTACAATGATTTTTTGTTCTTCACCTTAGGAAGAGATGTTCCGCGTTCTTGCACGGGTTATAGAGCTCGAGACTTCAAGGTGTGCAACTACCAATTCAACTATCATCCACCTAATCCTTGTGGACGAGTATGCAGAATTTGAGGTCATATTTAGCTCCCAGTACCTTAGACGAATTGTTGCACCGGTGATTCCAAGAGATAATTTGTTACATGTTGACTTCAACACCATTCTAAACCATCTTCAAGGAAATCAGTACGAGTTGTTCCTGAAAGTTGGCCCATGGAACCAGATTGGGCAGTATTGTGAATTGGTGTTGCTAAAACTGTTCCCATCTCCAGATTAGTAACACTGCTGTATAGAATACAGCACGGTCCACAACGTAATTGGATACTTATTTATTTGATTAGTAATATGCTAGGATATGTGAATTGCGGACAACAGTCTTAGTTTGTTCATATTCTGCATCACAACTACAATTTTATTTATTTATATGATTTATATGATTGTAGGGCATTGTATCTTTATATAGTAGTAATGACCAGGATTTTTTGAATCCTACTTTTATCATTATTTTTCATCACCCTAATATATTTTTTTTCTTTCATCATACCTTTTCTTTTTCTATATTGAGATCACTCATACTGCCATTCTATTTCCAACATTTAATATGTTCATTTAGAATTAATTAATCCTATGTAACTACAAACACTTTATATATTTGTAAGGAGTTGGAAAATGATACAATTATTTAGTAATCACTTTTACATATAATTGTCACACATGTACCGTGCTCAAATTTAATTATTTGGACAAAAAAGCAATGAACGCTAAAGTTATAAATAAACTAAACAACTTTTCACTTTCATGCCTATGTCGAAACAGTGAAATCATTTAAAGAAAAATTCTATGTATCATCGTAGTTCAATGCTTTTCTTGTTGGAAATATACACCAAGTTTTTCGAATATCTTTTATGAGCCGAAATTCTTTCTCAATAAGAACAAAAATACCAACATGTTTTTTTCCCAAATCAATTTTGATTCATAACTACCAATATGATCATCACTGGCCAAGACACAAGCCATATACAAAAGTTAGGGGGTGTGCAATGGTCCGGTCTATACCGGACCACACTGGACCAAACCGAAATTTGCACCGGACCGCACCAAACCGAGTATAATGTGGTCCGGTTCTTGGTCCACATGAATTTTATAATTACTGAAGAAATGATGGACCGAGCTAATATTTGGATCAGACCGAACCGACCCAATATTTGGATCAGACCGAACCGACCCAAATGGACCGAGTGCAATGATGGTCCCGTCCTTGGTCCTAAGATGTATTTCACTAATGGTCTCGGTCCTCATGAGTTTGGTCCGGTCCGGACTGGACCGACCCGTTGCACACCCCTAACAATTGTTATCTAAATTTTGTTGATCATAATGGGCTTTAAAAAATGGACTTATCTTAGCCCAGAAGCTGCTTTTCTTAACCAGAGATTTGGATATTTGACTGTCTACTTTATCCAAAACATACAAGCCCATTCTTTGCAGGCCGTTTTTCTCACAGTCTGAATAGATCATAGCCCAGCCCAATTTTTACCCATCAGAAAACACAAACTCCCAATGCCCAACCCTCAATTCGGCAACACCACTCTTTCTGCTCCCCTTCCTTCCAGCTGCCTTTGTAGGGTAGAATTTCACAACTGTTCCACAGCGTCCGTAATGTCCCCGACGGTTTCCTCACGATCCGACGCAAAGAACTGCTATCCAATACACTCTACATAGGGGGGTTTCATTTAAATATTAACGGTTATGTAGTACCAGCTTCAGAAGTCCGCTCTTATATTTTACCTGCCACAACCTCGTCGATCAATCATTCACTCAGTTACAAGCAAAACACAGTACAATGGCGCCTCTCACCATTGCTCAGCTTTCTACCGATCAACCTTATAGCGAGCTTTGCTGTCGTGTGTCTAGAAAATGGATTGCTTACAATTCTAAGAAGGATGTTATTATCTGTTTGGAATTCATCTTCATTGATGCTGAGGTAATTCTACTATCGCATTCCATTTCGCATTACATTAGTTATGTTCGTCGAATGCTGAAATAGTTTCATATTTCCTTAGGGAACTGATATATGGGTTCGAGTTCCGAGAGATATAATGAAGAAGTTCCAAGACAGAGTTGAGGAGCAAAGGTTTTATGAGTTCTCAAAGTTTTTAGTAAAACTCACACAGAAGAGCTACCGTCTAGTTGGTAATCCATTAATGATTGAGTTAACTGACGATACAGTTTTTCGACGGATCAAAGACATTCCAGCTACCCCAACTTACAAGTTTAGAATCCTGAAAACATCTGACCTTCCAATGTATATGACTCGCTATGACACAACTCCTAACAATGGCCAAGTGTAACCAATGGAAGGGACTGCAGTATAGTGGCTCAAGTAATAAATATTGAATCCACGGGTCTCTAGAGTTACTATTACTCAGCTTCAGTTCATTATCTAGCAAACCAGATTAAGTTGGAAGAACTAAAACTACTCTAACAAACTATAGTTAAAGTTAATCTAATTACAGGTTGGGAACTCACTTAGGTATGATTCCCCCTAGCCACTAGCCAGATTAACGATTGATGATTTCTAACTTGTTTCACTTTCATTCACAATGCGGAGAATCCTTGACTAGACCTTGAGTCTCGACTAAAGGAACAAGGCCCTCTTGAGTCAATTGCCTAGAGGGACGTATCCTTCTCTAGAACAACTCATCAAGGTGTTCTGAACTAGACTCCCTCTATCGAAAGAGGTACTCAATCGATACAAAGCAGTGAATCAACCCTCGACTAAAGAAATCAATCCACTACTATCAATCTATGGTGCTCTATTGACCTAATCAGGTATACGCTCTCATAGGATCAAAGCAGAATCAATAATCTCGACTAAAGCAGAATTGAATCATGAAAACATGCATAGATTGAATATGAACTCAAGATTATCAAGTCAGAGTACTCATACAATCATTCAATCAAACAAACATAGCTAGGGTTCCTCAAAACCTAAGTGAAGGGAAGTTACTCCATAGAGAAGAGAGAGACTGCAGTAAGAATCTTCAGATGATCAGTCTTCAAGTTCGGGCTTGTTCCTCGAGCTTCCAAGGGGAAGAAATCCTCTAGTTCCACTCCAAGAATGCCCTCAAATCGCCCTCTCTCTCTTTGGTTCATCCCTTGGGTGTTTGGGATCCAAAACCCAGCTCTCCTTGCAGAAACGCACAGAACAGGCTTTTAACAGCCTGCGTCGCGATCCCCGGCCTGAATACCCGGTCGGGTATTTTGGGTGGCGACCGGGTATATTCAAAACGCACCGTCGGGTAAGAGGGGAAAATCCCCGGTCATGGCCAAGAATCCCCGACCGGGGATTTTTGCTCACTGCCCGGGCCCCTTCTGCTTCTCGGAGACGCTCGAAGCGTCAAATCCCCGGTCTGCTCCAAATAATACCCGGCCGGGTATTTCTGCTCATGGCCTGGTATTTTTGCTCTCCAGCACAATTCAAACCAAACATGCTCCTTTCGACCCGAAAGTCGTTTCTTCGCCTCAATGCCAACGCTAAGCCCTGAAATATGACATAAACGCACAACCTAGCGTGAAATCGGCTTAAAACACGAGAATCAACAAACAGGACTCCACGAAGGGATATGACAATCCAGTTTTCTGAGTAACTTCTTAGTATCACTCAACTGTTCAAATTAGTTTGTGGTTTTTAGAACTGATGGTCATTTTAGTATCCACTAGCAATTGGAGATGTTGATGAAAATCGTTGCTCTGAACCCGTAATAGAAATGAGTTGAAATGCATGTTGCTTTCCTTTTTACTCGACTTTAGCTCCCATTTGTTCTGTTCTCTTTCCGAATGAAAATCCAAAATTTTCCCCTGGAAAGAACATAACTTCAATCACTGAAACCTAATGAAAAAATCTAATGTAAAGTTAAAAGTTCAATTCATTTCAATTTGATACACATTTAGTGACTGTAGCTTATATATGCCTGTTGCCAATTACTTTTTTATTTAGGGTCTCTGTTATTTAATGAAATTTTAGTTGTTTGCCAATTGAATATGAAGTACTTGCTGATTATAACTCATTACCGTTTAGTTTTCACTTACTATCTATTTTCTCCACTCGATGACAATTATTACTAGGCCTTTCTTTTCCAATAGTATGAGCTAAAGTATCTATTACCGAGCTTAATTCAGATGATTTTCTAAGTAGTTTAGCATATAAGTAGTTTATTTGTTGGTTATTTGACCTAGCCACAACAATGCTAATTAGTTTTTACATAGTAGCCTAGGCTTACTCGGTAGGTGTTTCTCATCTATACCAAACTGAATTCATTCCAATTTTGATCCATTGTCTTTATATTCACTTGAACTAATGTTTGTGCAAAAAAACTAAATACCTTGGTTTTGCCAAATGCAGTGGACACATTATTAAGATCTCCTTGTGGGGAAGAACAATGAGTCAGCTAGATAGTATTGTTGACCCTACAGAAAATGCAACTACTGTTGTCATAGCTACATCTTTATTCGTCAAAACATGGAATAGTAAGTAGTAAATCGGTTCTACTTTGTTTTAATGTTTTTGCCATTACCAATGCTGCTCTCTTCTTCTATATAACAAATATTGTGCATTTCACTTCTGACGTTATACATTCCGTCGGTTGCTTATTCTAAACCCCTTTCTTTTTAGAGAAATTCTATTTATCATCGTCTAGCGCAACAAGACTGTATGCCAATCTGAATATTCTAGAAGTTACTGCTGAACAACAACGGTAATGCGTATATTATTCCAAAATTATTTATTTTCCTAATGCTTTATATTTTCAATGGGGTATAAGTTTACTTTGCCAATTCTGTTAGGCTTCCTCAGAACAATGCAACACAGTTTATTGGTATTGACCAAGCTCCAATAATCATCCCCAATGTTACCATTGAAGAGCTGTTGGCACTGAGAAACAGAAATAAAGAATAGGTCATTAACCAATCCCTAACTAACCTTCATAAATTACTCCGGCCATTTTTGTTCATTTAATTCACCCATTTTAATCCCCAAACCTAGTACTATTGGACAGAAAACTTTGGAATTGGACTGTGTTGTTTCAAGCATCAAAGACAACTGGTATTACAAGGCATGTGCAACTGCAGACTGCCGTCGTTTGGTTCGAGAAGGAGTTGATGGTTTCTTCTGTGGAAAATGCAAAACAACCACAAAGGAATCTGTGAAACGGTATTCTTTTCTATCCAAAATGATTTATAAATGATATAGCTTCTCTTTCAAAGAACTTATTGTTCTTGGGTGTATATAAGAAATTCTTTTTTGTTAGAGTGAAATGGAAAGCATAGCCTTTATATAGTTTATTTGTTAATGACTTTATGGCCCAGATTAGATGTAATAGTATGTATATTATTTCACTGGTGAATATACATAGTGGTTATCAAGAAACTTGAATAGCTATATCAAAGTTGTTAAATATAATATTTCCTAAAGCAATTGAATCTAGGGGTGACAAACGGTAAGTCGGTAAACGGTTTACCATTTTACCGAACCGGTAACCGGCGGTAAACGGTAAACCGTTTACCGGCGGTATCGGTAGCCGAGGTTCAAATGGGGAAGCTCGGTTTACTGGGCCCAGTATCGGTAAATACCGACG